ATTAAAGGCATAAAAATAGGAAAAGAAGAAATTAAATTATCACTATTTGTGGACGACATGATTATATACCTAGAAGACCCAAAAGGGTCTACAAAAAAACTACTAGAACTAATAAATGAATTCAGCAAAGTGGCAGGATATAAAATCAACACGCATAAATCAAAGGCATTTCTGTATATCAGCGACAAAACTTCTGAAATGGAAATGAGGAAAAACACCCCATTCACAATATCCTCAAAAAAAATAAAATACTTGGGAATCAACCTAACAAAAGAGGTGAAAGATTTATACAATGAAAACTACAGAACCCTAAAGAGAGAAATAGAAGAAGATATTAGAAGATGGAAAAATATACCCTGTTCATGGATAGGCAGAACTAACATCATCAAAATGGCGATATTACCCAAAGTTCTCTATAGGTTTAATGCAATGCCAATCAAAATCCCAACAGCATTTCTTGTAGAAATAGATAAAGCAATCATGAAATTCATATCGAAAAATAAAAGACCCAGAATAGCAAAAGCAACTCTAAGCAGGAAGTGTGAATCAGGTGGTATAGCGATACCAGATTTCAAACTATATTACAGAGCAATAGTAACAAAAACAGCATGGTACTGGTACCAAAACAGGCGGGTGGACCAATGGTACAGAATAGAGGACACAGAGACTAATCCACAAAGTTACAACTATCTTATATTTGATAAAGGGGCTAAAAGCATGCAATGGAGGAAGGATAGCATCATCAACAAATGGTGCTGGGAAAACTGGAAATCCATATGCAACAAAATGAAACTGAATCCCCTCCTCTCACCATGCACAAAAGTTAACTCAAAATGGATCAAGGAGCTTGATATCAAATCAGAGACTCTGCGTCTGATAGAAGAAAAAGTTGGCTCCGATCTTCATATTGTGGGGTTGGGCTCCAAATTCCTTAATAGGACACCCATAGCACAAGAGTTAATAACAAGATTCAACAAATGGGACTTACTTAAACTAAAAAGTTTTTTCTCAGCAAGAGAAACAATAAGAGAGGTAAATAGGGAGCCTACATCATGGGAACAAATTTTTAATCCTCACACTTCAGATAGAACCCTAATATCCAGAGTATACAAAGAACTCAAAAAATTAAACAATAAGATAACAAATAACCCAATCAACAAATGGGCCAAGGACCTGAACAGACACTTCTCAGAGGAGGACATACAATCAATCAACAAGTACATGAAAAAATGCTCACCATCTCTAGCTGTCAGAGAAATGCAAATCAAAACCACCCTAAGTTACCATCTCACTCCAGTAAGATTGGCAGCCATTATGAAGTCAAACAACAACAAGTGCTGGCGAGGATGTGGGGAAAGGGTACACTTGTACATTGCTGGTGGGACTGCAAATTGGTGCGGCCAATTTGGAAAGCAGTATGGAGATTCCTGGGAAAGCTGGGAATGGAACCACCATTTGACCCAGCTATTGCCCTTCTGGGACTATTCCCTGAAGGCCTTAAAAGAGCATACTACAGGAATACTGCCACATCGATGTTCATAGCAGCACAATTCACAATAGCTAGACTGTGGAACCAACCCAGATGCCCTTCAATAGATGAATGGATAAAAAATAATGTGGCATGTATACACAATGGAGTATTACACAGCACTAAAAATGACAAAATCATGGAATTTGCAGGGAAATGGATGGCACTAGAGCAGATTATGCTAAGTGAAGCTAATCAATCCCTAAAAAACAAATGCCAAATGTCTTCTTTGATATAATGAGAGCAACTAAGAACAGAGCAGGGAGGAAGAGCAGGAGGAAAAGATTAACATTAAACAGAGACATGAGGTGGGAGGGAAAGGGAGAGAAAAGGGAAATTGCATGGAAATGGAAGGAGACCCTCATTGTTATACAAAATTACATATAAGAGGTTATGAGGGGAATGGAAAAAAAACAAGGGAGAGAAATGAATTACAGTAGATGGGGTAGAGAGAGAAGATGGGAGGGGAGGGGAGGGGGGATAGTAGAGGATAGGAAAGGTAGTAGAATACAACAGTTACTAATATGGCATTATGTAAAAATGTGGATGTGTAACCGATGTGATTCTGCAATCTGTATTTGGGGTAAAAATGGGAGTTCATAACCCACTTGAATCTAATGTATGAAATATGATATGTCAAGAGCTTTGTAATGTTTTGAACAACCAATAAAAAAATAATATTCCCTTTCCAAAAAAATAAAAAAAAGAAATGACATGATCAATTATTATCTAAAGTAAAATAGAAAGTTTGCAAAATGGTTTACAATTTCAAATGGTGAACAAGGAGATAACAGAGGTCATGTAGGATGTGATGGTTATGAAGGAGGAGGAGAAAAGATAGAAGTAAAAAATTAATTGAAGATTCAAAGTGAAAACAATAGAAATTTGATGTTAGCAGAAGAAAAGAGTGAAAGATAATCAAGGGAAACAGACAAGTGAGAAAAAATATACATAAGGAAAAATATTTAAAAATAAATATAAAAATAAAAGAATGCAAAATCAAATTGAAATATACTTATCAAACATCATAGTCCTCATAAAACTGATCCATGAAAAATAACTGGATTTTAACATGCTAGAAATGAGAAAATTAACAAATATGAATGAGTATAAGTGTCCATGAATGTTGTGCCCATTACTTTAGAGACTGGATGAGGGGTGGTGGGGGATGAAGAAAAGAAAAACAGACACACATAGAGAGAAAAAGGTGGGGCCCGGTGGTTCAACCAACCCCTAATAGGGGAAGACTAACTCAGAGATACCTCAGCACTTTTATTGTATAAGTTTCATTATCAAAAGGTTATTTGGAGGAAAGTTTCAGTAAAGCAGATAATTTGAATATGCAGAACTGTGGGTCATTAGGGTCATCTTGTTTTTCTCAGAATCCTTATCCCTGGAAGTTGGTGTCCAAACTTAAGGCCTTGACTGATAACTCCTGCCTTTACACAGAGTTTCCTCTGGCTGTGCCATCTTGACCTACACTTTTGCACAGGCAGAACCCAGTGCAACAGAGCCATGAGAGTCCATAATTAAATTACTGGTCTCCACACAGGAACCATTAAGGTCACAATGAAACAGAAAAAAAGAAAAAAGATCTTGATGAAAAGTTAAAGAATTATTTCCATTGGAGTTCAATAGATTCTCAGCTTCCCTTCTCAACTGTGTTAGGTTGGGTGGTCTAGAGTGTGATGCTTGCTCCCAAGGTAGGGTTGCTAGAGTGAGAGGTAATCATGTAGATGGAAATCCTGGAGGCAGGATTTAGGATTAGGCAGGCTCCCGGTCCTTTGCTGAATGCCAGTTGGTCTGGAGATTTTAAATCAGCACACCAATAGGTCCCAGCAATTGCCAGTCCACACTCAAAGACTGCACCCCAGGGAACTCCCCTGGGTTCCACTCGTGTGGTGGAGGAGCCAATTCTTACTCCAGTCAGTCATCTGCAAAACCCCCATTTACCGTTCTTCTGTTCAGTCTCCAAACTCAATCTCTCCCACCTCCACCCTTTTGAATTTCTGTCCAGGCTTGTCTCTTCCAGCTGGTCCTGTAAGTAGCCAGATTGGAGGAGGAGGGGAAGAGCAAGGTGGGTTTCCACCGTTAGTATTCATCAGTGTAAACCTATCTCCATGTTTGATTTTCTCCTGGTCACTTAGGCACATGCTATGTCATGCAGTGTGTGTTTGTCAGGCCTGCATTTTGAGCCAAACTTGAATTTGCTAGGAATCAGCTCCCCCAGCTGCGAGTCCCCACACTGCAGCTGCAAAAGTTTCCTTCCTCTGTCCTCCACTCAAAGCCAGGAGACATGCAGCTTCATTCCTGCACAAAGATATTGTGCAGCATGCCCTTCAGGTTAGTCGGAAAGTGTCTTTTAGGCCTCCTAAAAATTCATGTTCCTTTAATTTTCTTATCCCTCAATTTCCTCATGGAGGGACCACTCTGGCTGGTGTCTCTGGTAGGGGCACTAGGGTTGGTGCTGGGTATTTCTTTCTTATTTTATTATCTCCAGCCTCCTGAGTCCCTGATCTGCTTTGAATGTCCAGTATTGAATTCCCGCAAAGTTTCCCACCATTTTTTTTCTTATTCATCCACCTGCTAATGAGCTGCCTATCTGTTTTCTTGGATTCATGCCTTGGAAGAGCCAGGAAAGAAAACTTCTCTATTCTGTGATCTTGAAACCTTACATTCATCTTTCATTGATGTTTCAGCCCAGACTAGACCTGTGAAACTCCTGTTAAGAAGCTCATAAACTTGCTATTAGATTTGCCAGACACGACTAGGTCTTCATTGTCCATACTCCCCAAGCAGGATTCAACAGAGTTGCCCTGGTCCATTTGGAAAACACATTTTTTTTTGCAGGGGGGGGGGGGGGTGGGGGCTCCAGTGAAACTGCCCCTTACTCGATTTTTCTTCTCTAACACTGGGCACTTCTTCCCAATGTCATTTTCTGCTTCCTCCTTCTAAATGTTGGAACATTCCAGAATGTTCCAGAACATTCCCTTCTCTTCTTTGAGGTGATTTTATACACTTTCTATAGCTAATGATTCTCAAATCGTTATCTCCAATCCTGGGCCTCTCCTCCTAGTGTCAGGCTTACAGTCACTCAACTGTTCAATGACACCTCCCTGTGGATATCCAATGGGCCTCTGAGACTTAACATAGTCAAACTGGGCTCTGGATTCTCTGCTGCCCCCTGCATTTCCCAAGCTTCCCCAACTCTGCCATCAACCACCATCCTACCAGCTGCTCTTCCCACACCTGACACTCTCCCTACTCACCCTGCTCCTTCTCTTCCCTCACCTTTGCCAGTCCTACCTCTCACATGCATCACAACTTTATCCGATTCTTGCCCCTCCTGCTTTGGGATCCCAGAACCTGCCATTTTTTTTTTTTTTTTTTGCCCAGAAGCCTCTGCTCCCATCACCCCTTGCCAGGATCCACTTGACTGCTTATATGGCTCTTATGGAGAGGAACCTGACCTAAGACTGTGACTTCAGGGATCATTTCTATTGTTCATCCTTGGAGAAATTTCTCTGACCTTGCAGAGTGCCAGAAACCATGAGAAAGAGGCCCAGAGTTCCCTCCTGAGGGTGAAGGCAGCTCTTGGTGATACTTTACTGCAACTGCCTTTTGCTATTGTTGTCTGTTCTTCTCTCCCCTCCTTTGGAAGGCTGAGAGGCGGGAAATGTATATGAGAGCTTTCCACTAAGAAAGAGGGAGGAAGGGAGGGAGGGAGGGAACAAGAGAAAGGAAGAAAGAAACAAAGAAAGAGAAAGGGATATGTCCTGACAGGACCACCTAGAGCACCTCTACTCCACACTATGATTTTCTTTTTTTTTTTTTTTTTTTTTTAAGAGAGAGTGAGAGAGAGAGAATTTTTTTTAATATTTATTTTTTAGTTATTGGCGGACACAACATCTTTGTATGTGGTGCTGAGGATCGAACCGGGGAGGCACACATGCCAGGCGAGTGCGCTACTGCTTGAGCCACATCCCCAGCCCACACACTATGATTTTCTAACTTGGGTCTATACATGGTACCTACTACAACTTGCAGTTCAGTGTGTGTGTGTGTGTGTGTGTGTGTGTGTGTGTGTGTGTTTCTCCTTGTGAAATAAAAGCCCCAAGGAAGAAATGTTTCCATCTCTCATGTTCAGTACTGTGACTCCTCTCCTGGAGGGGTGTGTGAACAGGGGGAGTATTTGAATACATTATGGCAAGAAGGAAAGGACTTAGAGACAGCCTGGGACCCACCCTAGACTCACCAGGGAGTTGTTGTGTGACCTAGGGCAAGCCACACTTATTTCCATGGTTACTTGTTGGATGTAACAACCCTCTTCCCAGCTCACTGACATTTTAAGGTATTTGGATGATGTTGCTATAAAAGGTTAAGTTTTTCTAGGATGTTACCGCAATGAAATGTTGCAAATCTCCAGATTAAACCCCCATCTCTTAACTTTATTTGAAGGATTCCCCTACCCTTAAATCAGGTTATCGGAGAACAGGTAACAGTTGATTCATTTCAACAGATCATCTGCCCCTCCCCACCCATCCTGTGTCTTTCTCTCCTCTCACCATCTAGTGGCCCTGCTAGTGTCCCAGGGACTGGGCCTCATTTTCAGATGGACTCTGCTGATAGCAGCAGCACTTTCTCTCTTCCCCCTTTTCCATTTGTCTCACCTGAGGACTCTCCACCATGAACACACAGGAATGGTCTGTAACTGTGACGAGGTGAACAGCAGGGACCAAAATTGCAGGATCCCAGGAGGGCACCTGGTGTGGGATAGAAACATTTGAGGAACATGCTGGTCCTGAGTCAGTCAGATGTGGAACTGAAGTGGCTCCACACCAAGCCTAGGTGCCCTGGTGATCAGTGATCCTGCTGATACAGCAGGATTGCAACTTCTAGGCCAACCTTGACAACTTAGCAAGACTCAGACTCAATGAAAATATAAAAGATCTGGCCTGGGGATTTCTCTCAATGGCAGAGCCCTTCCTTATCGTGCTGATCCCCTCTACTGCAAGAAAAGAAAAAATGGAAAACCAACTACTTGCTTCTTTTTTGGCGGGGGCGGGGGGAGCACCAGGGATTGAACTCAGGGGCACTGGACCACTGAGCCACATCCCCAGCCGTATTTTTGTTTTATTTAGAAACAGGGTCTCGCTGAGTTGCTTAGCACCTCGCAGTTGCTGAGGCTGGCTTTGAACTCGCAATCCTCCTGCCTCACCCTCCTGAGCTGCTGGGATTACAGGTGTGCGCCACTGCACCTGGCAACTTCTTGCTTCTTTTTTGGGGGGACAGAGGGAGGTTCTGATCAGTGATCCCAGGAACACTTAAACACTAAGTCACATCCCAAGCCTTCTGGTTTATTTTTATTTTGAGGCAAGTCTCCATAAGTTGTTTAGGACCTCCCTAAATTGTTGAGACTGGCCTTGAATTTGCATTACTTGTCCCTCAGCCTCCCAGGTCACTGGAGATTACAGACATCTGCCACCATGCTTGGCCATTGTACTGGGGCTTGAACTCAGAGGCATTTAACCACTGAGCCACATTCCCAACCCTTTTTTTTTTTGTATTTTATTTAGAGACAGGGTCTTGCTAAGTTACTTAGGGCCTCACAAAGATGATGACACTGGTTTTGAAATCTTGAACCTCCTGCCTCAGCCTTCCAAGCTGCTGGGATTGCAGGCATGCACCACTGAAATCGGGTCCTTTTTTGATGTTTGGATGAATATATCATCACTCAACATTGTCCAGGGCTCTGAGGTTATCCTCAGGAAGGAATCTATACCGATTGTTCCTATAAATATTAAACGGATCCCTCCCTTAATCTCCAGAGCATTTACTAACCTACAGAAGTTGTTTTTTTCCTTTGGAAGACTTCTGGAGATCCAGCAAAGAGCCTTGCATAGTTTCAGCACCTGCTCAGCCACTGAGCCACACCCAAGCTTCTCTACATAATGTGTTATTGCCACTAATATCTACTAAGGTTTATCTTTGTTTCCCATTTCTTGATTTCCCCATTATAGCAATATCCCTGAGATTACTGGCTTTTTAAGAATTTGGGTTGATGTTGACACGTTTTCAGAGGTTCCAGACCATCATCAGTTGGCCTTATTGCTTCTGGGTTCATGGAGAGACAGACAGCAAATACTGACATGATCACAATGTGGAGCAAAACCACTCACCTCATGGCTGGGAAGCAAAGAGAGAGCAAAGATGGGCCAGGGGACCATTGTCTCCTTCAAGGACATTCTCCCCACAACCATAAGTCTTCCCACAAGGCGCCACCTCTCATGTTGAAGCACATCCTAAAAACACCTCTCTGAGGATCAAGGCTTTAATATGGGGGCTTTGGTGACACTCAGTATCCACACTATAGCATAGTCCTTAGCACATGTTCACGGTTCCCACCTCCCCTCCTCCACTTGAGTATAAGCCCCATGAAGGCAGGAGGCCCTCCCCACCTACCCTAGGCCCAACCCCTGGAGCATGAGCCCAGAGACTCCTGCATGCCAGGCAAGCACTGCAGCACTGAGCTGCACCCCCAGCCTGAGGACAGGATTTCTGTCTGCTTTGGACACTGGTGTTTCTGAGCATCTGTAATAGGGTGCATCAGCAGATGGGGTGAACAGAAGAAGTTAGGCAGGTCACACGAGGATATTATACTATGGTAATCGAGTAAGGTAATTTTGGCCACAGGGTGTGTGGGAGGCCTCCCTGGGGCCATTGCTGGGCTCAAGCCCTTGGCTTTCTAGGCCAGGAAGGCTGATGACTGCATGTGCAGCCCAGGTCAGCCTGACCAGCTCCTCAGGACTGGACGGCTCACACTAATGACTGAGAGGAACTTTAGAGAGAAGGTGTTTGCTCTAGTAGAGGCGGGTGTTCCCATGGGAGAAGCATTTCAAGTGTCAAAGTTAAAAATGGATTTTGATATTGTCTTAAATGTGATTCTTTAATAAACCATGAGATAACCAACGCCTGTGTTGGCTATCTCATGACTGCCATGATCTCCAAATGACAATGATTCTAAACAATCCTTAGAGACATTTGCAGTAACTGTACATGATGGGAGGTTGCCTGTCACCTGTGTTGGTGACATAGCCACAGATATTGTCAATTCCAATACAGGTGGACTGTAGCCCAGCTCCTAGCTGGAGGAAAAGTTGACTTGCAGTTAGAGGTGGGAAAAAGCTGGGATCTCATCCATGCAAGTGCTGGGGGCAGGGAAGTGGCTGTGGCTGTGTGCTGGGGTGGGGAGGTTTTCTGGTTATTTAGGCTTAGGAAGAGGAGACCTTGTTACTAGGGGGTCAAGGACTGAATGTGTGTGGGCCAGGGAGTAGGGGTGGGGGTTCCAAACAGAGGCTGTTCCTGCCTGGAGAGGCTCCAGGGTCCACCATCACAACCCTCACGGCCTCCTTCCAGTCCTGGAAGTCTGGAAAAATAGCCCTTGGTGGAGTGCACTCCACTGTCCCCCATCACCCACTTCTCCTTTTCCCTTCTGTGTGGCCCTGGCCACCTCAGCCTGCTTCCTCCCCTGGCAGCAGTGAACTTCCAAGTCTCATCCATTAATCAAGACAGTGACATTGACTCTGGCATGGCACTGGTAATGAGTGGCCTTGGCCTGTGCACACGGTCTGACACACAGCGACCTGCTGTGCCCAGTAATGCAACCTACTTTTTAGTGCTAGGCAGACCCAGAGCCAGGGAGTAAGAAGGCCAGGCCTGAGGGATGGCCATAGCTGTGGCTCCCTGACCCAGTGGGCTAACACCATGGCCAGCCACAGTCTTACCTGCAGCCTGCTGGGCCTCCTGGCCCTGACCTCTACCTGCTACATCCAAAACTGTCCCCTGGGAGGCAAGAGGGCTGCCCTAGAGCTGGAGGTGTGCAAGGTGAGCCACCTGACCCTAGGGCCCTGCAGGAACCACCACCAACTTCCCATTGTTTCCTCATTTGGAAAACCAAGGAGTTTTGTAGATTTCCACTCTAGTACCAGATACTGGTGCTCCAGAACCTGTAGCCCCTTGCATCTTAGCAGCACTGAGGAGCCCAACTCCTGGGCTCCGGTCCCAGCATCCCAATTCCGTGTACCCTGCAGGACCTTCAGGCAGCCTCCACCTTCTCCACCACCTCCCCTTACCAGCTACTCTCTTGGTTCCCCACAGTGCCTCCCCTGTGGGCCCAGGGGCCAAGGTCACTGCTTTGGGTCCAGCATCTGCTGTGGGGACGAGCTGGACTGCTTCGTGGGCACAGCCGAGGCGCTGCGCTGCCAGGAGGAGAACTACCTGCCATCACCTTCTGGTTCAGGCCAGAGGCCCTGCGGGAGAGGGGGCTCATGTGCGGCTGCCAGCATCTGCTGCAGCCCGGGTGAGCAGGAGAGGCCAGCGCAGGGACATGGGCAGGGTGGGAACCGGCAAGACAGAGACAGACACCAGCTCTCTTTGCAAATGGCTGCCACACTGACCCTGCCTGCCACCCCAAGACCACCTTTTCTGAATGATGAGTTTGGATGCCTCCTGACATATTCCCACTGCAGCCATTGCTCCCCAAAGGCACCCTTAAAAGTAATGAAAATTGAGCAAAACCACCGCAGTGGTGCTTGCCTGTATGCTTCCTTGTCAGCTTGCCTTTTGGATCCCAAGTTTGAGAACATTATCCACAACATGGCAAGACCCTGTGTCAAAGTAAAAAATGAATGGGGCTGAGGATGTAGCTCAGAGGCAGAGCAGCCCTGGCTTCAATCCCCTCTACTGCAAAAATAATGAAAACAAAATAAAACAGAACAGATCTTTCCTCTCCTATTCTTCTCTGGTCTAAGTGTCAGAAATAAGGGGAGGCATTGGGGAATGAATGACTGCTCCCTACCTGGGTCTGCATTTCAGCTGTGCTGATCCAACTGAGATCATGAGGGTCTCAAACAGCTGCCACCCTCCTGAGGAGACTGGAGCAGGGAGGACCCCAACAGGGCCAGCTCCAGAGATGGAAAAAAACAGCATCCCACTCCCAGCAGGGGCTGGGACCTGGAGCAGGGCACACTAGAGGAAGTCCAAAAGGACAGGATCTAGTCATCTGCACATAGAGACAGTGTCTGAGAGGGGATCAGGGGAAGGGGAAGGGACAGTGGGCATCCAATGACTCCCTGACTCCAGGAGAGAGGCTACCTACGTACTCCTGCTTGCAGATTGAAGGGGTAGAGCTGGCCAAATGGAGGGCTCTGGGGGGACAGCTGAAGAGCCACCGCCATGTTTCAAAGAACTGGACTGTCACACCCCAAGGAGGCCACTGCTGTGCTGAGCTGGGGAGGCTGGACTGGGGCACCCACAAGACACTCCCCTGCTCTCCCCATAGCTAGGTCTCAACCCAATGGCCTGACTCCTGCCTGTGTAGTGGGATCATATAAAAGCCCATCCCTCTCCCCAGAACACGTCTCATTCACCTGCCCATCAGGCTGGCCACAACCTCAGAAGGCCCTGCTCAAGCCTACTCCAAAATAAGAGGAGCAGACCATTCATTGCCTGTTAAAAATTAAACACGCTGGCTCCATTCTAAATTTTCTAAGGAATCTCCATACTGCTTTCCAGATTGGTTGCACCAGTTTGCAGTCCCACCAGAAATGTATGAGTGTGCCTTTTCCCCACATCCTCGCCAACATTTATTGTTGTCTATATTCTTGATTACTGCTATTCTGACTGGTGTGAGATGAAATCTTAGAATAGTTTTGATTTGCATTTTTCAAATTACTAGAGATGTTGAACAACTTCTGAGAAGTGTCTGTTCTGCTCCTTAGCCCATTTATGAATTGGTTTGTTTGGGTTTTTTTGCTGTGAAGTTTTTTGAGTTCCTTATATATTCTGGAGATTAGTGCTCTATTTGACATGCTTGACCCAGCTATTTCACTCCTCAGTCCAAAGGACTTAAAATCAGCATACTATAGTAACACAGCCACATCAATGTTTATAGCAGCTGAATTCACAATAGCTAAACTGTGGAAGCAACCTAGATGCCCTTCCATAAATGAAGATAAAGAAACTGTGGTATATATACACAATGGAATATTACTCAACATTAAAAGAGAATAAAATTATGGCATTTTGCAGGTAAACAGATAGAGTTGGAGAATATCATGCTAAGCGAAGTTAGCCAATCCCAAAAAACTAAAGGTGGAATGTTCTCTCTGATAAGTGGATGCTGTTCCATAATGTGTGGGGGGGCATGGGAAAAATGGAGGAATTTTGATGAGGCAAAGGGGAGGGAGGAATGGGGAGGGGGCATGAGAGCAGGAAGATGGTGGAATGAGACGGTCATCCTTATCCTAGGTACATGTATGACTGCCTATATGGTGTGATGCTACATCATATACAACCAGAGAAATGAAAAGTTGAGCTGCAATTTTGTACAATGAATCAAAATGCATTCTGCTGTTATATATACCTAATTAAAATTAATTAAAAAATAAACATGCTATGTGAATGTAGCTCAATGGTAAAGAGCTTTCCTAATATGTGGGAGGCCCTGGGTTCTGTCCCCAAAACTGTAAAAATGATTAAATATACCAATAAATAAACTAATAAACCATAAGTAAATAAATAAAAAATAATAAATTGAATAAAATATCCCATTTCTGTAGTTTTTCTCCCATACCAGAGTGAGTGGGGAGATCACAAAGAATGAACCCCAGGGCTGGGGTTATGGCTCAGTGGTAGAGTGCTTTCTTAGCATGTGCAAGGCACTGGGTTGATTCTCAGCACCCCATATAAATAAATGAACAAAATAAAGATCTGTCAACATTAAAAAAAAAAGAATGAACCCCAAAGCTCCACCAATAATGAGTGAGGCTCAATCACAGGGTGGACGACATAAAAAATATATTGTGATACTACAAGGTTTGAAATTAATTAATCAATTTTTTTGGTGATGGGGACTGAAGATTGTCTCTTTCAATAAAATGGCAAAACTAATGTATGGTGCTAAAGTTCTAGGATGGCACAAGGATGTTGGGGGGCTTCTGGATTGCTGCTCATATCCTGTTTCTGGACTGGAAGCTGGTGAAACAGATGTGTTCAGTTTATAAAATTAATTAAGTTGTTGGGCATGGGGACACACACCTATAATCCCAGGTACTGGTGAGGCTGAGGCAGGAGGAGTACAATTTCCATTAGAGCCTCAGCAGAAAGCATTATACCCAACAGCCAGAGAATGTGTGATTTGGGGGGAACTCATGAAACACTAAAATCCAACCACAGACTTGCCACCAAAGAAGGCAGTTGTTACAGAACCAACACTGTACAGATGGCTCTTTGACCTTAACACATAAAATGAAAGACAACAAAAGATGGCTAAAGAAAAGGCTCAGTGTCCGCACTCTGAACACCTACTACAAAGAGCCCTTGGGTGAGCACAGTAATCATCAGGATATCACCAAACACTGAGAACTTGGAACCAGGGGAGAAGGAGGAAAGCAGGACACAGGGGAAAGCATGCAGCTTTAGGTAAGTAAGGGAAAGCAAGAAGTGCTTCTTTGTTCTCTTCCGTGCTGGGGAGGGGACCAGGGCCTTTGCATGCAGGCCCTCCCCCACCGAGCTCCACCTTGAGACTCTGCTGTTTCTTAATAACCTGTACATTGAACTTGAGAACTGTGAGCAATCAACAGAGAAAGCCCAAACGTTCATGAAGGAGAAACCCAAAATAACAAAGGACAGAAAACACAAACAAGGGCTGGAGATGGAGTTCAGTGGTAGAGCACAGGCCTCACCAGTGTGAGGCCGGGGGTTCCATCCCTGGCACTGCAAAAACAAAACAGGTTTAAAAAAAAAAAAAAAAAAACCACACACACCAAAAAAGTGAAGGCTGATAAAATGAAAAGCTATTCATATAAAATCATAAAAACAATAAACAGTCTTTTTTAGGCTCATCAGGATTTTTTTTAACACAGTGTCTTGCTAAATTGTCTAGGCTGGTCTGGACCTCTCCATCCTCCTTCCTCAACCTCCTCGGTAGCTGGAATTAGAGCCAGTATCACCTCACCCAGCCACGAAACTTTTTTAAGAGATGTTGCTTATGTTTCTATTTATAACCCACAGGTGTGGAGGCCTGCACACTTCTCCTTGACTCTTATTACCTACTTGAGGCAGCCCCTTTGTCCCTGAAGAGGCTGAGAAAGTCTTGAGACCCCAAAGTGTATACTGTATACAAGATGCTGAGAACAAAGGGCTATGCTCAGCCGTTGGAGAGACTCCGCTGAGCCCACATCAGTGCTGAATAAACCTTGTCCTTCCTCATCTCTAAGTACCATTTGTTTCTTTCCATTGACAACATTTTCCATATTTTTCTATAACATATTTTCATGTGTTGGCCAGGAAACTGACAACCAAGTTGGCCTTTGTGCCACCATTGTTGGGAAACAGGAGAAACCTGGGCCACCAGCCTGATGACAGATGGATAAGCACCACCTGTCCATTTGCCAGACCTCCACTCTCATTCAAGCCATGAATGAGAGTGTTTGTTCCTGATGGTTTGTATATATTTGTGTACATCAGTATATTATATGCTGTGTCCTGACTCTCACTGCTTCCCAAGAGCAGAACCAAAGCAGGTTTCAGGATGGGATGTCAAACTGGTAAGTTCTCTGGGGGGCATCTCCTGAGTCAGGTCCTGCCATACGGTGGAAGGGGAAACTGATCACTTCCTAGTGACTGGAGTGTCGCTCAGTACAGGATCTGCTCCTTCGGAAAGTCTGTCAGTTCTGATGTGTGTGTGTGTGTGTGTGTGTGTGTGTGTGTGTGTGTGTGTGTTTGAAAGACAGAGAGAGAGAGAGACTGGAGAGAAGGGAAGTCTGTGCTCCACCATCTCAGAGCCGGAGTGAGTCCTAACCTGCAGTTCCATGGTGACTTCAGAAGACTTAAGGCAGTGCCAATCCCTGGGGGATCAAAAGTCCCTCCCTGCCGGGTTGGTCCAGGTCAGGGGCTTATACTGACCTGCCATTGATGTAAAGAGAGCAGCCAGGTAGATGAAGGTGTGTGTTCCCTTCTCATTGTGCAACACCCTCTCCAGGGGGAACGCTCACATGACAGGCAGTTCATCTTTAAAGCCCACTGTCTTGGAACATGGGGTTAAGAACTTTAAGATTCTTTGGAGATTATTCTTTGGTGTAAAATTGAGCTCTGGGAAACTGCACACTCTTTGTACTCTAGAGTGGCCCTCTTTTGGGATCCGATGGCTCTCAGATGGGACCTTAGATGTGGCCATCGTTTGAGCAGGGTATAAAGTAATAACAGGAGAGACTAATGGAGGGGATCTGGAAAAGCCAGCTGGGCCAGGTCCCGGACCTTTTAAGAACACTTGGGAGGGCTTCATTCTGCCCTGGGAAAATCCAAGCATTGCCTCAAGCTGCAGGTGTTAACTGTAATTTTCTACAAATGCCTGATAGACAGCCTGTACCCAGGAATATCTGGGGATGCCCTACTTCCTGCGATTTTTTTCCTCTTTGTTCCAGTTGGCATA